GGATATATAGGGTTTAGGGCTTCGGGATAGGGGCTTAGGGTTTCCCAAACTAGGGGTACCCTTTGGGGGTCTGTATGATAAAAATCATAGTATGTTGATGTCTATATTGGGGTCCCCCTATCTGCGGAAACTACCAGAAAGATGTTGAATTTCGTTCAAAGCCACATTGCGTGTTGACTCAGCAGCATGACCCTAACAGTTGCTAATGCTATCACTGTTACAAGTAGCAGTGTTGAGCTATTTGCAATTAGTTTTTGTATTAGAGAGAAGGAGAACGAGAAGGCGCTCAAGTCCTTGGAGGAAGAGAAGCTGCAGGTGCTCAAGAAGAAGGACCGTTCTGACAGATGGCTCCTCAGGAAGATGTTTCCATAGCCACAAATTCGAGAACTAGCTAAGAAACGACTTGCCTTAAAATGTGTTTCCTCCTGAATCTCCAGGTTTTGGGGGCTCTGGATAGCTCCTGGGTAGGCCCCTGAAATATTTGATGTTTTCCCTAATGGCTTTAGTAAGGCCAACCCAGGCTCCTGTCGCCTGTGAGGAGGCGCGGCGCCTGATTGATCAAGGCCAGGCGGACCTCTGGGCGGCGGAGAGGCGGGGCACTGCCTGTGGCAGGGATGGACCCTAAACCCTAAACCAAAAACCCTACCCTAAACCCCTAAGAGTGCTGGGCTTGCGCACCGGGTGCAGGATTTTGGCGTCTTTTGCGGTGGTGGTGGTGTGGTGGTGCAATGGGGCAGTGCTGTTGTGGCGTGGTGGCGTCGTGGGGGGTAGCAGTGGGGGTAGTGGTGCGGGGTAGTAGTAGTGCTGGGATAGGGGTAGTGGTGGGGGTAGTGGTAAAGAGTAGCTGTGGGGATGGGGGTGGTGGTGGGTGTAGCTGTAGTGGTGGGTGCAGTGGTGTGTTTGGGGGGAACAGTCGCAGGGTGGTTCCAAGGTTTGGGGTTTACTTACTGGTACTATCAACCAGCAAATACGGCTTAAATACGCGCTTTATCCTATACATCCTGATAGGACATCTGGATAACCCTCCGCTTTCGCATTCACCTTTGCACTACTCTAAGTGCTTAAGCTCCCACAGGTTGTTCCTATATCATCCAAGTTTACATTTTCCCCTTCCGTTCAGCTTTCCATTACCCAATTTTTAGTTTTTTTTGGTGAGCTGCCTGGAGTCTCAGGCAGATCCAGACGGAACAGAAGCAGCAAGATGCGAAGAGAAGAGCGGAAGAAAAACGGAGGACTTTCCAGCCAGGGAGTTTAGGGTGTGCAGTTGAGGGTTGAGGCTTTCGGGTTGAGGTTTTTGGGTGTAAGGGGCTGTGTATTTCAAGCTCAGGGCCTGGGGCTGAGGGTTCAAAGTTTGGAGTTCAGGCTTGATTCATGGAATTCACGCGCATCTTGTACTGAAAGCCAGCCTCCACGCCAGAGACGTTGTCAAACAGGTTCTTGGCTGGTTGCCATGAAAGGCCAGTGGGAAGTTGGTTTAACTATTGATAAGACGGTTCTGGTTGCCCCAACCCTGTCAATGAGGACCCTATGACTATCATATGACTCTTCTAGGGTCCCTGATGTAGGAGTTGGGGTTACCCAAATCACCATTTTCAATTCCCTAAACCCTAAACACAATACCCAAATCCCTATTTTCCAGCTGTTCAGCAAGGGGTCTAGGTGTCCTTCTCCTCCGCAAGCGCCTGGGATGGTCTTCGTGTTTCCTCTTCCTCTACCTGGCCTTTTTGGAGTCTAATATTCATGGCCTTTGTTGGAAGGTTCTAGGCCCCACATTAGGGCCCATGGTTTTGACCTTAGATGTTGGCTTTGCCTCTCTTTTCTTCTACTTCTACAATTCATTTGGTTGCAAATTTTGGCTTCAAGTGTTGCTAGTCTCCGTGCACGGACTATTGCTGAATTAGACGTCTCCCTTAGTCAGAGAGTCAGGTAAGACACCCTACATGATACCGGAATTCCTCATATGATTTAAAGTATGTTCCCTAATGAAGGATCCACTGGGCTTTCTGGCCCTAAGCCCTAAACCCTATAT